GTTATCCTATTAGTATTACTCATAATAAGAGAGAAATTAAGAATTCTAAAAATCTTAACTTTTTTTCAAGTAGTCACTGAACCATGAAAATGAGGTCAATATCGATGGACATATGACAGACGGAAACTTCATAACATAAGGCATCTATATACAAAGTATGAAGGATCCAGGTATTCTACCTTCTGAAATATTAAGCTTTTAAGAAGTAAGCTAACGCCGCCGCCGGATCACTATCCCTATGTCGAGCTTTCTGCGACAAAAGTCGCAGGCTCGACAAAAAAACTAAACAAACTGAGTATCTTAACATGTCTTTTTTTAATGAATACCATATCTTCTGCTCGTCCCCTTATACATATCTCTGTCAAAATCCTTTGGAATGCACTCATTTCTGCATTTCTTGAAAACATAAGAATGCTATATACTATAGCCAATGATCCAGTTATTCGGGTTTTTTGCCCTTGTAGATGTTTGTCGTCAAATGCAGACAGCATTACTTCCAAAAAAATGGTGTCCTATATCGAACAGTAATTAACACATGTACATGATTATATTGATAAGTGATCACAATATTGAGCATTGTTAATTTAAAACTATGATTATATTTTAAAAAAAATGCTCTGCTGGGGCGCAGCTTGATACGACCGCAGAGGTCGAACCCTGAACAGTTGGGGCAAGTATGGACACAACATTCAAGCTTGATACAGCACTGAATTTGGATTATAATTAAATATTTGACACAGCATAGGTTTCTGACACAGAATGAATGTGGTCTAAGAACTTAAAAAATTTTAATTTACCTATTCAAACCATATCATTATTATTTGCTTTTATATATAAATCAGTAATAACCAATTTAAAATGGAAAATTTTAAAGAAAAAAAAGGAAAAAAAAAATCCCCCCCCCCCCCCCCAATTTGTTGAACCCCCTTATGATTCATCACCCCCAAACTCAATCCCAGCCTTCCCTTTGTGGTATGGTACCTTGCAATTCAATTTCAGAGATATCCATACACTTGAACACAAGTTATTGTCTGGAAACTAGAAAAATGCTTGTTTTTTGGCCCCAAATTCCTAAACGTTAAGGGCAATTACCCCCAAACTCAAACCTAGCTTTCCCTTTGTGATATGGAACCTTGCAGTACAATTTCATAAAGATCCATACACTAACACACAAGTTATTGTCCTGTAACTAGAAAAATGCTTGTTTTTTTGCCCCTTTATGGCCCCTAATTCCTAAAATTTTGAGGGAATTACCCCAGAAATCAATCCCAGCCTTCCATTTGTGGTATGGTACCTTGCAGTACAATTTCAGAGAGATCCATACACTTGAACACAAGTTATTGTCTGGAAACTAGAAAAATGCTTATTTTTGGCCCCTTAATCATAAACGTTTTGGGCAATTACCCCCAAACTCAATTCCAGCTTTCCCTTTGTGATATGGAACCTTGTAGTACAATTTCAGAAAGATCCATACACTTACACACAAATTATTGTCATGAAACTAGAAAAATGCTTGTTTTTTGCCCCTTTTTGGCCCCTAATTCCTAAAATTTGGAGGCAATTACCCCCAAAATCAATCCCAGCATTCCCTTTGTGATATGGAACCTTGTGATACAATGTCAGAGATCCATACACTTACACAAGTTATTGTCATGAAACTAGAAAAATGCTTGTATTTTGCCCCTTTTTGGCCCCTAATTCCTAAAATTTGGAGGCAATTACCCCCAAAATCAATCCCAGCATTCCCTTTGTGATAGGGAACCTTGTGGTACAATGTCAGAGAGATCCATACACTTACACACAAGTTATGTCTGGAAGTTACAAAAATGCTTATTTTTGGCCCCTTTTCGGCCCCTAATTCCTTAACTGTGGGTACCATAATCCCCAAAATCAATCCCCACCTTCCTTTTGTGGTATTGAACCTTATGGTAAAATTTCATTGAGATCCATTCACTTAAACTAAAGTTATTGTGCGAAAACTAATGTGTCTTCGCACCACGACGACATCGACGCCACTGTCATACCAATATACGACCACAAAATTTTTTTTGCGGTCGTATAATAAATGGGGAATGTGTCCATGGGACACAGATGATGCCCCCGCTTGCATATAACGTTATAAAGGGCCATAAATCACGAACTGTAAAAGTGACACTACCCAAAGGACAAGGTACGATAAGGGCCCGTTTTTGGTCCCCCTATTTTCTCATTTTTCAAAATTTGTTTTGGAAAGCTACTTATCACGTTAAAATATTCCCTTAGGTTTGAAGTTTGTTTGAATGAACTTCAAAAGCATTAATTTCAGAAAATGGGTGAGGTGAGGGGTGTAAAAGGGCATCAAAAACGCCAAAAGAAGGAAAAATTACGATATTTGGCCATTGTTTCTTAAAATTTAATAGTGTGCGCCTACGTGACCCTGAGAAAATTATGGCGATTTAGACAGCAAAAACAGTTCTCATGACATTGGAATAAAAAAATTCCTGGGTCACGTTGGCGCAGGCACTTAAAAACTAATAAAATGCTTCGCTGAGCGCAGGCTGATACGACCGTTGAGGTCGAACCCTGAACAGTTGGGGCAAGTTTGGACACAATATTCAAGCTTGATACTGTCTGAATTTGGATTGTGATCAAATTTTTGACATAATATAGGTTTCTGACACAAAATAAATGTGGTCAAAGATCTTAAAAATTTGAAATGGGACATTTAATTTACCTAGAATGGTCTGATATCCAAAATCTAACAACATGGTTAGATTCAGCATATAAAAAAACACCAATAATTTAATTTTAGTTGAAATCAAACAAATTTAATTTTGGACCCTTCAAACCTTAATATGAACTAATTTGAAAACAGGGCCCAAAATAAAAATCTAAATGCACAATAAGATTCAGCAAATCATACAGCTGTAATAATTCAGTTTTTGATGAAATCAAACAAAGTTTAATTTTGGACCCTTTTGACCTCAATGTAGACCAATTTAAAAATGGGGCCCAATATCCAAAAAAATTATACAAGGTTAGAACCCCCAAAAATTAAAGACTTAATTAATCCTATCGAAATTGGTTAAAACATTTGTATTTGTTTTCAATTGAAGATTTCTTGCTATTGTGCAATACTGTGCAACTGATTTGATTTGATTTTTGGTGTTTTAACGCCACTTTTAAGCACCGCTTTTGGGCTATTTCGTGGCGGCCAGTTTTTATTGGTGGAGGAAGCCGGAATTCCCGGAGAAAACCACCGACCTTCGATAGGAAAACTGACAATCCTAGTCAATTAAGATTGGAGTCGAGTGCACCCGCACGAGCGGGGTTCGAACTCACAACCTCAGTGTTGTAGTAACTACTTAGACCACTCGGCCACCGAGGCCCCTCTGTGCAACTGAAGATTTGTTGCTATTGTGCAATACTGTGCTATTACCCAATACTGTGCAATTGAAGATTTTTTGCTATTGCGCAATACTGTGCAATTGAAGATTTCTTGCTATTGCACAATACTGTGCAGTTGAAGATTTCTTGCTATTGCGCAATACTGTGCTATATTGTGCAATACTGTGCAATTGATGATTTCTTCCTATTTCGCAATACTGTGCTAGTGTGCAATACTGTGCTATTGCGCAATACTGTGCAATTGAAGATTTCTTGCTTTTGCCCAATACTGTGCTATTGCGCAATACTGTGCAATTGAAGATTTCAAAAATTTTGAAGAAAAAAAATCCCCCCAACTTTTTGAACCCCCCACCCCCCCTTTTGGAGTAATTACCCCCGACTCAATCCCAGCCTTCTCTTTATGGTATGGAACTTTGTAGTACAATTTTAGAGAGATCCATACACTTAAACACAAGTTATTGTCTGGAAACTAGAAAAATGCTTGTTTTTGGCCCCTTTTTTGCCCCTAATTCCTGAACGTTTGGGGCAATTAACCCCAAACTCAATCCCAGCCTTCCCTTTGTGGTATGGAACCTTGTGGTACAAAAATTGCCAATATACATAATTTAAAAGCAGTTTAGGTGAGATAAACAAACTAGAGGCTCTAAAGAGCCTGTGTCGCTCACCTTGGTCTATGTGCATATTAAACAAAGGACACAGATGGATTCATGACAAAATTGTGTTTTGGTGATGGTGATGTGTTTGTAGATCTTACTTTACTTAACATTCTTGATGCTTACAATTATCTCTATCTATAATGAACTTGGCCCAGTAGTTTCAGTGAAAATTATTTTGTAAAAATTTACAAAATTTATGAAAATTGTTAAAAATTGATTATAAAGGGCAATAACTCCTTAAGGGGTCAATTGACCATTTTGGTCATGTTGACTTATTTGTAGAACTTACTTTGCTGAACATTATTGCCGTTTACAGTTTATCTCTATCTATAATAATATTCAAGATAATAACCAAATACGGCAAAATTTCCTTAAAATTACTAATTCAGGGGCAGCAACCTAACAACGGGTTGTCCGATTCATCTGAAAATTTCAGGGCAGATAAATCTTGACCTGATAAACATTTTTACCCCATGTCAGATTTGCTCTCAATGCTTTGGTTTCAGAGATATAAGCCAAAATCTACATTTTACCCCTATGTTCTATTTTTAGCAATGGCGGCCATCTTGGTTGGTTGGCAGGGTCACCAGACACATTTTTTAAACTAGATACCCTAATGATGATTGTGGCCAAGTTTGGTTAAATTTGGCCCAGTAGTTTCAGAGGAGAAGATTTTTGTAAAAGTTTACGGACGACGGACGCCAAGTGATGAGAAAAGCTCACTTGGCCCTTTGGGCCAGGTGAGCTAAAAAGCTTCATCAGCAACATTTTATATTGGCAAATTTCCAATGAAGTTCATTAAACTAAAGTTATTGGTAAATTTCCAATGGAATTTATTAATAATAAAGTTTTTGGCAAATTTCCAATATACATAATTTAAAAGCAGTTTAGGTGAGATAAACAAAAAAGCTTCATCAGCAACATTTTATATTGGCAATTTCCAATGAATTTCATTAAACTAAAGTTATTGGCAAATTTCCAATGGAATTTATTAATAATAAAGTTTTTGGCAAATTTCCAATATACATAATTTAAAAGCAGTTTAGGTGAGATATTCAAATGAGTTTCAATTACCAACCTTACACTGCTGTTTAAATTATGTTTTGTACTTAAGTAATTGTCCATTAACCTGGAAACCCTTTTTCTCTCTTTTTTGCACCTTATTCCTTAACGGTTTGAGCCATAACTCCCAAAGACAATTCTTACCATCCCTAAATTTGTGGTATTCCAATATCCAAAATATAAATACATGGTTAGATTCAGCATATCAAAGAACCCCAAGAATTCAATTTTTAATGAAATCAAATAAAGTTCAATTTTGGACCCTTTAAACCTCAATGTGGACCAATTTGATAACCGAGCCCAAATATCAAAAATCTAAATACATGGTTATATTCAGCATATCGAAGAACCCCATATATTCAATTTTTGTTGAAATCAAACAAAGTTTAATTTTGGACCCAGATTTGGACCAACTTGAAAACTGGGCCCATAATAAAAAAACTAAGTATATGTTTAGATTCAGCATATCAAAGAACCCCAAGAATTCAATTTTTGTTAAAATCAAACTAAGTTTAATTTTGTACCCTTTGGACCTTAATGTAGACCAAAAATTAAGAATCTAAATACACGGTTAGATTCAGCATATCAAAGAACCCAAATAGTTCAATTTTTGATGAAATCAAACAAAGTTTTATTTTGGACCCTTTTGGCCCCTAATTCCTAAACTGTTGGGACCAAAACTCCCAAAATCAATCCCAACCTTCCTTTTGTGGTCATAAGCCTTGTGTTTAAATTTCATAGATTTCTATTTACTTATACTACAGTTATTGTGCAAAAACCAAGAAAAATGTTTATTTGGGCCCTTTTTTAGCCCCTAATTCCTAAACTGTTGGGACCAAAACTCCAAAAATCAATCCCAACCTTCCTTTTGTGGTCATAAACCTTGTGTTTAAATTTCATAGATTTCTATTAACTTATACTAAAGTTATAGTGCGAAAACCAAATGTCTTCGGACAATGACGCCAACGTCATACCAATATACGACCGCAAAATTTTTGCGGTCGTATTAAAATTAGTTGTACTGAACACCTTTAAAGTGAATAATAATTACAATATTTGAATAATAACAGAAAGTATACCCCCCCTCACCTTACCCAGTTGCAAAAAATGGTGGTTTTGAAGTATATCCAAACAAACTTCAAACATCAGGGAATGTTTTAACATAAAAAGTAGCTTTCCAAAACAGAATTTGAAAAATGAGAAAATAGGGGGGCCAAAAACGGGCCTTATCGTACCTTGTCCTTTGAAATTGATCTGAGTTTTGTGGTAATAAGCATTGTTTATTAGTTTCATAACATTTAGTTGACGTAAACTTAAATTAGAGAACAGAAACGAAAAATTCAGCAATTTTTCCATTTTTAAAGGGGCATAACTCTAGAACAGTAGAAGTGACGCCACCAAAATTCAATCTTTATCTGTGTTTTGTGGTAATTAGCATTGTCCATAAGTTCCATAACATTCAGTTGAGGCAAACTAAAGTTAAAGAACAGAAACAAATATTTCAGCAATTTTGAGATTTGTAAAGGGGCATAACTCTAGAACGGTAAAAGTGACGCCAACAAAATTCACACTTGATCTGAGTTTTGTGGTAATTAGCATTGCACATAAGTTGCATAATATTTGGTTGAGGCAAACTAAAGTTAGAGAACAAAAACTAATATATCAGCAATTTTTCCATTTGTAAAGGGACATAACTTTAGAACACTGAAAGTGACACCAGCAAAATTCAAACTTGATCTATGTTTTATGGTAATAAACATTGTGGATAAGTTTCATAACACTTGGTTGAGGCAAACTAAAGTTAGAGAACGGAAACAACAAGCATTCTGAGAGTATTGCATGGCAATACATAGTCCCCTACCAGGTAAAAATTTGTATAACTGGAACAAAATGCTAATTTGTTCTATAACTTGTCATGGTGTAAACAAAAAGTAAATATCATGTCAATATCTTCAAGCATGACTAAAAACAGTGTGGAAAACTGATTATATGAGTGAAAAAAACATTAGATATGTTTAATAGTTCTCTAAAATTAGATATGATGTAATACAGTGTATATCTATTTTCAAATTATAATCAAATATAATTAATAGTTTCAAATATTTATTCTTTCATTTGTCACAAACTAATATAGATTTGTAACTTATCTATAAAATGTCAACAACATTTATCTACACAATGTAATGTATTGAAATATATACATTAATAAAAATAGTTTATTATCTAATTAAAGGATTTCTCTTCATAAATTTTTCTTTATATATATATATATATATATATAGCATTCAGAAAATTAGTTTATACTAAATAACAAACAAACCTGCTAAAAATTTCTTCAATTAATTTAACAATGAATGTCTTTTGAAAAATGAGTTATCCCCTTTGTACAGAAATATGGTTTAACATAGTACTCTAACATTAGATATGGTCCAGAGTTATGGTCCATAACTCTGGACTTAATTATCAGACCGGAACAAAATTCGAACTTGATCTGTAACTTGTCATGATAAAACAATACACCAAATATCAAATCAATATCTTCAAGCATGAAGAAAAAAAGTGTGGAAAGCTGATTTGCCAGACTGACGGAGTGCAAACCTAAAGTCCCCTTCGACTTCGTCGGTAGGGGACTAAAAAAATCAGCAATTTTTTCATTTGTAAAGGGGCATAACTCTAGAACGGTAATAGTGACGCCACCAAAATTCAAACTTGATCTGTGTTTTGTGGTAATAAACATTGTGGATAAGTTTCATAACATTAGGTTAAGGCAAACTAAAGTTAGAGAACGGAAACGAAAAATTCAGCAATTTTTCCATTTGGAAAGGGGCATAACTCTCGAACGGTAAAAGTGATGCCACCAAAATTCAAATTCGATCTGTGTTTTGTGGTTATAAGCATTGTGGATAAGTTTCATAACATTTGGTTGAGGCAAACTAAAGTTAGAGAACGGAAACCAATTTTGGGACGTACAGACGGAGGGACGGACAAGGATAAAACTTAATGCCCCCTCCGCTACGGCGGGGGCATAAAAATCCAAAAACACAAATTGTCCTATTGAATTCAATATAGTTATCTCCCCTTGGTTTTGAAAGGATTTTTTTCTAAAAAAATTTAAATACACTAACAGCACTTAATTATTTAATAGTTTAATCTTAACATTTTAAGTTTAAAATGTTTCAATTGTATATTGAATGATACTTGGTAAAATGTTTTAAACCAAATAAATGAGGAATGTGTCCATGGGACACAGATGATGCCCCCGCTTTTATATCATATAAAGTTATAAAGGGACATAACTGAAGAACTGTAAAAGTGACACTACCCAAATTTGTACTTGATCTGAGTTTTGTGGTAATAAGCATTGTGTATAAGTTTCATAACATTTGGTTGAGGCAAACTAAAGTTAGAGAACGGAAACCAACTTTGGGACGTACGGACAAGGGTAAAACTTAATGCCCCCTCCGCTACGGCTGGGGGCATAAAAATGCTGCTTTAATGTTTTTCCCCATAGGGTCAATGTTAAACTTTTCTCCTGTTTCCATGGCAATGGCAGCCATTTTGGAATTTCTAAGTACTGATGGTACCTCAGGGTACCACTGGCAACATTTACATAAAGTTTTAATAAGATGGCTCTTATAACAAAAGATTTAGAAATTTAATTTTTTTTTACATTTTTGCTGTTTCAATGGTAATGGCGGCCATTTTGAACCATTCCAATGTCTCTTGCACAACTTAACATAGTGGTCCACATTATAGTTCCATCAACATTGGTACATACAATTCTGAGAAATGGCTCGGACAAAAAGTGTGGAAGAATAACTAGAGGCTCTCAAGAGCCTGTATCGCTCACCTGTATTTACTGATGCTTTGGAAATCATGTAAAATAAGGTTAAAATCATAATTAATAGTATTAGATATTAGATTATAATGATATCTAAGATAATAACAAACAAGAGTGCACACGCTGAAATGTCTCGCCTTTTTTACTAATCATTTATATTATGTTGATAGTCCTAAATATAAAGCTTTATTACAACTGTCACATAAATTTAACATTAACCAAGTAAACTAAACATTGACCAATGAACCATGAAAATGAGGTCAAGGTCAGATGAACCATGCTAGGCAGGCATGTACAGCTAAAAATTCTTCCATACAACAAATATAGTTGACCTATTGTTTATAGTTTAAGAAAAACAGACCAAAACACAAAAACTTAACACTGAGCAATGAACCTTGAAAATGAGGTCAAGGTCAAATAAAACCTGCCTGACTGACATATAGATCATAAAATATTTCCATACACCAAATATAGTTGAACTATTGCATATAGTATTAGAAAAAAAGACCAAAACTCAAAAACTTAACTTTGACCACTGATCCATGAAAATGAGGTCAAGGTCAGATGACACCTGCCAGCTAGACATGTACACCTTACAATCATTCCATACACCAAATATAGTAGACCTATTGCATACAGTATAAGAAAAACAGACCAAAACACAAAAACTTAACACTGAGCAATGAACCTTGAAAATGAGGTCAAGGTCAAATAAAACCTGCGTGACTGACATAGATCATAAAATATTTCCATACACCAAATATAGTTGAACTATTACATATAGTATTAGAAAAAAAGACCAAAACTCAAAAACTTAAATTTGACCACTGAACCATGAAAATGAGGTCAAGGTCAGATGACACCTGCCAGCTAGACATGTACACCTTACAATCATTCCATACACCATTTATAGTTGACCTATTGCATATAGTATTAGAAAAAAAGACCAAAACTCAAAAACTTAACATTGACCACTGAACCATGAAAATGAGGTCAAGGTCAGATGACACCTACCAGTTGGACATGTACACCTTACAATCATTCCATATACCAAATATAGTAGACCTACTGCTTATAGTATCTGATATATGGACTTGACCACGAAAACTTAACCTGGTTCACTGATCCATGAAATGAGGTCAAGGTCAAATGAAAATTGTCTGACGGGCATGAGGACCTTGCAAGGTACGCACATACTAAATATAGTTATCCTATTACTCATAATAAGAAAGAAATTAACATTACAAAAAATGTTGACTTTTTTTTCAAGTAGTCACTGAACCATGAAAATGAGGTCAAGGACATTGGACATATGACAGATGGAATCTTCGTAACATAAGGCATCTATATACAAAGTATGAAGCATCCAGGTCTTCTAGCTTCTAAAATATAAAAGCTTTTAAGAAGTTAGCTAACGCCGACAAAAGTCGCAGGCTCGACAAAAACTGCAAAATTTTTGTAAAATTACAAACTCAGGGGCAGCAACCCAACAACGGGTTGTCGGATCCGTCTGAAAATTTCAGGGCAGATAAATCTAAATCTGATGAATATTTTTGCCAACTGTCAGATTTGCTCTAAATGCTTTAGTTTCAGAGATATAAACCAAAAACTGCATTTTACCCCTATGTTCTATTTTTAACCAAGTCGGCCATGATGGTTGGAAGGCAGGGTCATCGGACAAATTTTTTAAACTAGATACCCTAATAATGATTATGGCCAAGTATGGTTAAATTTGTCTCAGTAGTTTCAAAGAAGATTTTTGTAAAAGATTACAAAAATTTACAAAAATTTTAAAAAAATTGACTATTAAGGGCAATAACTCCTAAAGGGGTCGACTGACAACTGACAACTTATTTGTAGATCTTACTTTGCTGAACATTATTGCTGTTTACAGTTTATCTCTATCTATAATAATATTCAAGATAATAACGAAAAACTGCAAAATTTCCTTAAAATTACCAATTCAGGGGCAGCAACCCAACAACAGGTTGTCCGATTTCTGTCCGATTTGTCTGAAAATTTCAGGGCAGATAGATCTTGACCTGATAATCAGTTTTATCCATGTCAGATTTAATCTAAATGCTTTGGTTTCAGAGATATAAGCCAAAATCTACATTTTACCCCTATGTTCTATTTTTAGCCATGGCGGGCATCTTGGTTGGTTGGCGGGGTCATCGGACACATTTTTTAAACTAGATACCCTAATGATGATTGTGGCCAAGTTTGGTTAAATTTGGCCCTGTGGTTTCAGAGGAGAAGATTTTTGTAAAAAGCTTACAATGACGGACGACGACAGACGCCAAGTGATGAGAAAAGCTCACTTGGCCCTTTGGGCCAGATGAGCTTAAAATAACTAGATTTGCCATTGCAAGCAATAGCGGATGTCACCCTTCCCCCCATTGCCACTAAGTGGCAGCCATTTTAAAAAATTTAAACAGTGAATGCACATATATGCATGGCAATACATCTTTCTGTAAATTTTCAGAACATTTCGAGCATTTTGAAATTTTCCCATTTTTGCTGTTTCCATGGCAACAGCAACCATTTTGGAAATTCAAAAGTCAAAAGTCTTATTGTCTTATAGTCAAGTCACATGTGGACACAGATGATGCCCCTGCTTGCATAGCATATAGTTATAAAGGGACATAACTGAAGAACGGTAAAAGTGACGCTACCCATATTTGAACTTGATCTGAGTTTTGTGGTAATGAATATTGTGTACAAGTTTCATAATGTTTGGTTGGGGCAAACTTAAGTTACAGAATGGAAACTAAAATTTTTGCAATCTTTCAATTTATAAAGGGGCATAACTCAATAATGGTTAAAGTGACACTACCCAAATTCAACTTGATCTGTGTTTTATCAGTGGAAGTCAAAATAAAACATTGCATTGTATAAAGCATTGATTGTAGTTGATTCAACTATAATCATGGGCAAAGGAAGATAACTCCAATTTTAATAAAATGCTTCGCTGAGCGCAGCCTAATACAACCGCAGAGGTAGAACCCTGAACAGTTGGGGCAAATTTGGACACAATATTCAAGCTTGATACTGTCTGAATTTGGATTGTTATCAAATTTTTGACACAATATAGGTTTCTGACACAAAATAAATGTGGTCAAAGATCATAAAAATCTATTGCACATTACTGTTTAATTGAAGATTTCTTCTTGGAACTTTTCAAAAAATTTGAAATTTGAAAAATTTTGAAAAAAAAATATGAACCCTTTAAAAAATCCCCCTCAAACTTTTTGAACCCCCCCTTGGAGCAATTACCCCCAAACTCAATCCCAGCTATCCCTTTGTGATATGGAACATTGTGGTACAATTTCAAAGTGATCCATACACTTACACATAAGTTATTGTCCGGAAACTAATTTCCAATGGAATTTATTAATAATAAAGTTTTTGGCAAATTTCCAATATACATAATTTAAAAGCAGTTTAGGTGAGATAAACAAAAAAGCTTCATCAGCAACATTTTATATTGGCAAATTTCCAATGAAGTTCATTAAACTAAAGTTATTGGCAAATTTCCAATCGAATTTATTAATAATAAAGTTTTTGGCAAATTTCCAATATACATAATTTAAAAACAGTTTAGGTGAGATAAACAAAAAAGCTTCATCAGCAACATTTTATATTGGCAAATTTCCAATGAAGTTCATTAAACTAAAGTTATTGGCAAATTTCCAATCGAATTTATTAATAATAAAGTTTTTGGCAAATTTCCAATATACATAATTTAAAAGCAGTTTAGGTGAGATAAACAAAAAAGCTTCATCAGCAACATTTTATATTGGCAAATTTCCAATGAAGTTCATTAAACTAAAGTTATTGGCAAATTTCCAATCGAATTTATTAATAATAAAGTTTTTGGCAAATTTCCAATATACATAATTTAAAAGCAGTTTAGGTGAGATAAACAAAAAAGCTTCATCAGCAACATTTTATATTGGCAAATTTCCAATGAAGTTCATTAAACTAAAGTTATTGACAAATTTCCAATGAAATTTATTAATAATAAAGTTTTTGGCAAATTTCCAATATACATAATTTAAAAGCAGTTTAGGTGAGATATTCAAATGAGTTTCAATTACCAACCTTACACTGCCTTTTAAATTATGTTTTGTACTTAAGTAATTGTCCATTAACCTGGAAACCCTTTTCCCCCCTTTTTTGCACCTTATTCCTTAACGGTTTGAGCCATAACTCCCAAAGACAATTCTTACCATCCCTTTGTGGTATTCCAATATCCAATATCTAAATACATGGTTAGATTCAGCATATCAAAGAACCCCAAGAATTCAATTTTGATGAAATCAAATAAAGTTCAATTTTGGACCCTTTAAACCTCAATGTGGACCAATTTGATAACTGGGCCCAAATATCAAAAATCTAAATACATGATAAGATTCAGCATATCGAAGAACCCCATATATTCAATTTTTGTTGAAATCAAAGTTTAATTTTGAACCCCGATTTGGACCAACTTGAAAACTGGGCCCATAATAAAACAAGAGTGCACACGCTGAAATGTCTCGCCTTCTTTACTAACCATTGATATTATGTTGATAGTCCTAAATGAAAGCTTTACTACAACTATTACATAAACTTAACATGATCCAAGAAAATGAAGTCAAGGTCATATAAACCAAACGAGAAATACATGTACACCTTACAATCATTCAATACACTAAATATAGTTGACCTATTGCTTATAGTTTCTAAGAAACAGACTTAACCAAGAAAACTAAACATTGACCAATGAATCGTGAAAATGAGGTCAAGGTCAGATGTACCATGCCAGACAGACATGAACAGCTTACAATCCTTCCATACAACAAATATAGCTGACCTATTGCTTATAGTTTATGAATAAAAACAGACTGATACACATAAACTTAACACTGAGCAATGAACCGTGAAAATGAGGTCAAGGTCAAATAAAACATGCGAGACTGACATGTACATCATAGAATATTTCCATACACCAAATATAGTTGACTTATTGCATATAGTATAAGAAAAAAGACCAAAACTCAAAAACTTAACTTTGACCACTGAACCATGAAAATAAGGTCAAAGTCAGATGACACCTGCCAGTTGGACATGTACACCTTACAATCATTCCATACACCAAATATAGTAGACCTATTACATAAAGTATAAGAAAAACGGACCAAAACACAAAAACTTAACTATACCCACTGAACCATGAAAATGAGGTCAAGGTCAGATGACACCTGCCAGCTAGACATGTACACCTTACAATCATTCCATACACCAAATATAGTAGACCTATTGCATACAGTATAAGAAAAACAGACCAAAACACAAAAACTTAACTATAACCACTGAACCATGAAAATGAGGTCAAGGTCAGATGACACCTGCCAGTTGGACATGTACACCTTACAGTCCTTCCATACACCGAATATACTAGACCTATTGCTTATAGTATCTCAGATATGGACTTGACCACCAAAACTTAACCTTGTTCACTGATTCATGAAATGAGGTCGAGGTCAAGTGAAAACTGTCTGACAGGCATGAGGACCTTGCAAGGTACGCACATACCAAATATAGTTATCATATTACTTATAATAAGAGAGAATTTAACATTACAAAAAATGTTAACTTTTTTTTCAAGTAGTCACTGAACCAGGAAAATGAGGTCAAGGACATTGGACATGTGACTGACGGAAACTTCGTAACATGAGGCATCCATATACAAAGTATGAAGCATCCAGGTCTTCCACCTTCTAAAATATAAAGCTTTTAAGAAGTTAGCTAACGCCGCCGCAGCCGCCGGATCACTATCCCTATGTCGAGCTTTCTGCAACAAAAGTCGCAGGCTCGACAAAAATTAAGTACATGTTTAGATTCAGCATATCAAAGAACCCCAAGAATTCAATTTTTGTTAAAATCAAACTAAGTTTAATTTTGGACCCTTTGGACCTTAATGTAGACCAATTTGAAAACGGGACCAAAAATTGAGAATCTAAATACATGGTTAGATTCGGCATATCAAAGAACCCCAATAGTTCAATTTTTGATGAAATCAAACAAAGTTTAATTTTGGACTCATAAAAATGAGTTATCTCCCTTTGTACAGAAATATGGTTTAACATAGTACTCTAACATTAGATATGGTCCAGAGTTATGGTCCATAACTCTGGACTAAATTATCAGACCAAAACAAAATTCGAACTTGATCTGTAACTTGTCATGATAAAACAATACACCAAATATCAAATCAATATCTTCAAGCATGAAGAAAAAAAGTGTGGAAAGCTGATTTGCCAGACTGACAGAAGGACAGACAGACAGATGGACGGAGTGCAAACCTAAAGTCCCCTTCGACTTCGTCGGTAGGGGACTAAAAAAATCAGCAATTTTTTCATTTGTAAAGGGGCATAACTCTAGAACGGTAATAGTGACGCCACCAAAATTCAAACTCGATCTGTGTTTTGTGGTAATAAGCATTGTGTATAAGTTTCATAACATTTGTTTGAGGCATACTAAAGTAAGAGAACCGAAACGAAAAATTCAGCAATTTTTCCATTTGTAAAGGGGCATAATTCTAGAACGGTAAAAGTGAAGTCACCAAAATTCGAACTCGATCTGTGTTTTGTGGTAATAAGCATTGTGTATAAGTTTCATAATATTTGGTTGAGGCAAACTAAAGTTAGAGAACTGAAACAAAAATTCAGCAATTTTTCCATTTGTAAAGGGGCATAACTCTAGAACGGTAAAAGTGACGCCACCAAAATTCAAACTTGATCTGTGTTTTTAGGTAATAAGCATTGTGTATAAGTTTCATAACATTTAGTTGAGGCAAACTAAAGTTAGAGAACGGAAACCAATTTTGGGATGTACGGACGGACGTACAGACAGACAAGGGTAAAACTTAATGCCCCCTCTGCTTCCAGTAGTCTTTATTTCATTTATTATGAGAAATTCAATAGTGAATAAATATCATGCAGGCAGATATATATATTTGTTAAGAAATTATATTTTGTAAATGTAATTTTGACATAATATTTGAAATACAACATTAACATTTCTTAAATAAGCATTTCGTTACCATAAATTACGTAAAACTTTTACTAAATTCTTTCATAGATACAAAGATTTGATTAGTAAATTTGGCTGTACCTGTAGAAAACTGATTAAAAACGGTATTTCACATCCTAAATTTTACGGTAATATTGTACTTAAAAGCGCAGAAATCACTATATGATCCGTGTAAACTCATCGAACCTTTAAACAAACTTATTAGTAAGGTTATCTTACCAATGTTGTAATTAGATCTTTGAATATAGTTTACATTGGCACTAATATCGATTTTGTCATCAGCAAATTAAAACATAACTAAATTTGTATTCTTTTCAAACGGGATGTATAAAGACACACCCACGTTCATTTTGATCTATAAAGAGGTTAAACTCCTAACTATCCTACTGCCTGTCGATACATTTATTTTTGGCATTGCACAAGTCATGTCTTCTTTGACTGTCCATGACATTAAAATACTAAATCCCTGGGATGTGTTTTAGTTGATTTTAGTCTCTGATGCATGATTTTTTATTCTTGTTTTTGGCTTTTAACTAGCTGTCAGTAACTGCGAGTACTCTCAAATCGTACTTTCTTGTTTATTTGACCTATTGATACTAATTGTAATGCTTTTTAATTATTTAATGTTATTCAGGGTTATATCTGGTATATATACCAGCTTTGATAAGTGTTTGGTATTACTATAAATTTTCATTTCGTACTATGAAAATCAAAATTATTTATTTTGTAAAAATATTTCTTCTCTCTATTTGAACTGTACACGTATACCTAACAACAAAATTATTTTCATTTACCTGTGTTTAAAGTAATTGCAAATGGCTGATATTTTTGTACGAGCATATTGTTTTTCTTATATTGTTTAACATCTCATAGCGGTATAACGTTACTTTTATCATTCTTCCCTTAGTTTATTTATTTTGTATTTGCATTGTATCATAGGTCAAATTTATTTGTTCAGTGTATGTTCAATTGTGTTAATATGTCCTTTGATTGAGTTTAGCTATTTCAGTTGATATTTTATAGTGTGTCTTTCTATGTTGTGATGTTACACTATTGTTTCAGAAAAAGGGTGAAGGTTTGGTACCATTAAAACATTTAAACCCGCTGCATTTGTTTGCACCTGTCCTAAGTCAGGAATCTGATGTTCAGTAGTTGTCGTTTGTTGATGTGGTTCATAAAGTGTTTCTCGTTTTTTATATAGATTAGACCGTTGGTTTTCCCATTTGAACGGTTTTACACTAGTAATTTTTGGGGCCCTTTATAGCTTGCTGTTCGGTGTGAGCCAAGGCTCCGTGTTGAAGACCGTACTGTGACCTATAATGGTTTACTTTTATAAATTTTGACTTGGATGGAGAGTTGTCTCATTGGCGCTCATACCACATCTTCTTATATCTATAAAACTTAGTTGACAGAAAAGTATATAAACAATTCCTGTAAATGTAAAATGTTCTAAATTCATATGCTGTCCACTAAGTTAAGTGTTCAAATACCTGATTCTGGCTGTTTTTTGTCATTTGTTCTGATGCTTTCAACAAAAGAGTCCAATACACTGTCTTGAAATAATTCCCTACAAGAGGGGGGTTTGGGCCTACTGTAGGCATGTTTTTCTCTTTTACTTGATAAATAAAACCAAATAAAGGCTATAAAAAATGTAGACATGAGAAATTGAAAATTTTTCAAAATTTTTTAATACAAATAAACCGTTTTTTTTTTTAGTAAGACTTACGAAACCATTCTGATTTGAACCAAGAACTTTACTGAAACTTTAATAAAAAAACTTTTTTTTTAAAACTTTTTTTTTTAATTATTTGTTAAGTTTAGAGGACATGTTTTTCAACATACAATCAACATTCCTATGGAAACTATGTGCGTCCTTCTGATTACTAATTTTTTCTTACATCCTTATAAGACAAATTTGATAGAGGAGATGACTGTCATTAGTTTTTACTTCCATGAGCAACTCAACAGTTACCATATTTGGAACAAGAACATCCTACACTTTCACCAGATCTCAGTTGTTGCCAGGATTTCTGTTGCTGGATGTTTGATGTTTAGGGTTGTGTTTTACTTTTAATGGTTGTCTTTTCCTCGTTTCTATTTTGGTTTAAGTGTTGTTTGTCTTATTGAAAATATGAATTTTTATTCTCCTCTCTCTCTTTTTACTTAAGTTAACATCCCCTTTTTGAACAAATCATGCGAGATGAGAGATTTTAATTTCAAATCCTGTAACTTTAGGTAGAAGGCTATAACTTACAACTTCCTAAGTTTGGCAGCATCAAATGTTACAGGTAACTTACTCATTCTCACCGATACTAGCAGATGATCTTCTAATAGTTGGTGTCTTGCTGTAACCATGTTCTCTGTTGATTAATAAGTAGGTTTTATTTATGGTGCCGTCAGACTTGAAAATAAAGGTCACTTAATAAAAAAAATTAATCTTTTAAGATATATGATCTTTGAAATGAGGCTCAACATTCCTTGATATTACCAAAAAGTTATAGTATTTAAGCATATGTTTAACTTTATAACAGAAAGTAGCATATCCACACATGTATTGTTGTATTTTAATCATATTTAACATACATTAAATAGGACAACCATATTTTAGGAAGGCCAATTTATGAATTATTATTGAAAATTAGGTTTCATAAATGGTATATAGAATATGCAGTGAACATGGTTCCATATGTAGAAAATGCATTAATTTTTGTGTACTGTTTAGAAAAATCAAGCAGTAACAAGTCATAATTTTATAAATATATCTTTTTTTATAGAAACATACAAGATCAAACTGGTTAACTGCAAAATGTTTTGTGATAAATCAAAACATCCAGAAAAGTTGCTTGTGAATCTATGGATATATAATTACTTACTTGCTTAACCCTACAGTGTTGTTAACATTGACATTTCCATTATGTACAATACTTGTACCTAAACTAGAAATATGAAATATAAGTAAAGAATTTTTTTTTTAATTGTTAAACATAATTTATCAGAAAAAAGAAAAACAAGTCTCATTGCTAGACCAAATTCTGCTCCCGTCTCTTCTCTATACCTATGTACATGGTTTATTGAGAATAAAGATATACAGTAAGGCAATCATTATAATCGATCTACAGTATGTAATTGCAGTGGTGTTTATATTGTAAATCCTTGCTGTATTGTAATCGAAATGCCATAAAAACAAAACTGTCTGTTGCTATTAGCATTTCCTAATAACAGTCTGCGACGTTAAGCGAAAGCCCGAAGCCCCTGTCTAGTAAAAATCTCACCGGACTTGTGCAGAAGCACTGGTGTTTGCCCGACCGGTCTTGTGAACATCTGAAATCGTTTGCGAAATTGTAGCCGGTATTTTATTGAATCTATGAAAAACAAGTTACAAATTTGTCGCAGACCTTGTTTTCTTCCGTTAACTGGTATCCCTATTTAATTATATAGGGTTGTTCCCCCTTCTTATCAAAGGGAACCAGTCGTCAACGCGATATACCCAATTACCAATGAAATCGAGAACGAGGCTCGACCATGTGCTTGCAATAAACACAATCTATAAATACCACTCAATGTAAACAAACAATCAAGGATTCGATCTCATTCATTCTGAAATGGAAACAGGGGGCTATCCCAGGTAAAACTTTGAAAAGTTGAAAATGCCTTCATGAATAACCGGAGAAGTTTTGAGTTGAAAAAACCTATGCAGAAAACGATCTAGGCATTTTATTATTTTAAACAAAAGTCAAAATTAACAGCGAAAGTGACAATAAAGAGGGTGTTGATAGGGGTTTGGCCACAGACCACAATTAATTCCTCTATTAGTTCTTTATAACATTTTGTCTAATTAAAAAAAAATTACCTGTTTTTTTTGTCAAATCTTTTGTGTATGTAATGTACAGTACAAGTCCAAAATTTATCCAAGTTTAGGAAAAATTGAACGTTTACATCTTACAAATTTAGCCAATACACATCCATACCCCTATGGACAAGTCAAGAGATGTTCCGAAAACTGTAAATATTACCTTTTTGCACCTGGCCTAATCACTCTTTCCATATCAAAATCAGTTAAAATAAAACATCCAAAAATTTATTTCAGCTCTCTTCTTTCATTTCCACCTTATAATAAACAGCTGCGCCATGAGCGCATGATACGCCCGTCGTCTTGTGTGTGAATTTTTATGCAATAAGCATAAATAGTTTCTGACATACGGCGTGACATGCGAAACCCCCCCCTTTTTTTTTAACAAAAAACTCAATATCTCTAAAATAAAATTTTGAATCAAAACCAAAAAGTATACAGATCTTTAGATTTAATATAACTAAGAAGTGTGTAAAATTTTAAGCAATAATCATAAATCGTTTTTGAGATACGGCGCGACATGTGAAAAACCCTCCCCCTTTTTTTACAAAATACTGAATAACTCAAAAATAAAATTTTGAATCATCACCAAAAAGTATACAGATCTTAAGGTTAATATAACTAAGAAGTGTGTAAAGTTTTCAGCAATAATCATAAACTGTTTTTGAGATACGGCGCGACATGTGAAAAACCCCTCCCCCTTTTTTAACAAAATACTCAATATCTCTAAAATAAAATTTTGAATCATCACCAAAAAGTATACAGATCTTAAGATTAATATAACTAAGAAGTGTGTAAAGTTTTAAGCAATAATCATAAATTGTTTTTGAGATACGGCCCAACATGTGAAAAAAAACACACACCTGTTTCAGTTACTAAGTCCCGTAACTCAAAAAGTTTTAATCTTATTTTCACCAAAAAGTATACAGATCGTTTGACCATCATAAGAAACAACTATGTTAAGTTTCATCAAACTCAATCCCAGCCTTCCCATTGTGGTATGGTACCTTGCAGTACAATTTCAGAGAGATCCATAAACTTGAACACAAGTTATTGTCTGGAAACTAGAAAAATGTGTTTTTTGGCCCAAATTCCTAAAAGTTTAGGGCAATTACCCCCAAACTCAAACCCAGCTTTCCCTTTATAATATGGAACCTTGTAGTACAATTTCAGAAAGATCCATACACTTACACACAAGTTATTGTCCTGAAACTAGAAAAATGCTTGTTTTTTGCCACTTTTTTGGCCCCTAATTCCTAAAATTTTGAGGCAATTACCCCCAAAATCAATCCTAGCATTCCTTTTGTGATATGGAACCTTGTGGTACAATGTCACAGAGATCCATACACTAACACACAAGTTATGTCTGGAAGTTACAAAAATGCTTATTTTTGGCCCCTAATTCCTTTACTGTTGGTACCATAACCCCCAAAATCAATCCCAACCTTTCTTTTGTGGTATTGAACCTTGTGGTAAAATTTCATAGAGATCCATTCACTTAAACTAAAGCTAGAGTGCGAAAACCAATGTGTCTTCGGACAACACCGGGAGACGACGTCATACCAATATACGACCACAAAAATTGTTTTGCGGTCGTATAAAAATAACAAAATGCTCCGCTGGGCGCAGCTTGATACGACCGCAGAGGTCGAACCCTGAACAGTTGGGGCAAGTATGGACACAGCATTCAAGCTTGATACAGCTCTGAATTTGGATTGTGATTAAATATTTGACACAGCATAGGTTTCTGACACAGAATGAATGTGGTCTAAGAACTTTAAAATTTATAATTTACCTATTATGGTCCAATATCCAAAATCTAAATACATGGTTAGATTCAGCATATCAAAGAATCCAAAGAATTCAATTTTTGATGAAATCAAACAAAGTTTAATTTTGGACCCTTTTGACCTCAATGTGGACCAATTTGATAACGGGGCCCAAAAATCAAAATACATGGTTAGATTCAGCATATCAAAGAACCCCATATATTCAATTTTTGTTGAAATCAAACAAAGTTAAGTTTAGGACCCCAACTTGGACCAACTTGAAAACTGGGCCAATAATCAAAAATCTAAACACATGTTTAGATTCAGCATATCAAAGAACCCCAAGAATTCAATTTTTGTTAAAATCAAACTAAGTTTAATTTTGGACCCTTTGGATCTGAATGTAGACCAATTTGAAAACTGGACCCAAAATTAAAATATAAATACACGGTTACATTTGGCATATCAAAGAACCCAAATAATTCAATTTTTGATGAAATAAAACAAAGTTTAATTTTGGACCCTTTTGACCTCAATATGAACCAATTTGATAGCGGGCCCACAAATAAAAAATCTAAATACATGGTTATATTCAGCATATCAAAGAACCCCATATATTCAATTTTTGTTGAAATCAAACAAAGTTTAATTTTGGACCCCAATTTGGACCAACTTGAAAACTGGGCCCGAAATCAAAAATCTAAATACATATTTAGATTCAGCATATCAACGAACCCCATATCTTCAATTTTTGTTAAAATCAAACTAAATTTTATTTTGGACCCTTTGGACCTTAATGTAGACCAATTTGAAAACTGGACCCAAAATTAAAAATCTAAATATACAGTCAGATTTGGCATAACAAATAAATAAATGTGGTCAAAGATTTTACAAATCTAAAGCGCCATACTGTGCAATTAAAGATTACTTCTTGAAATTTTTCAATATTTGAAATTTGAAAAAAAAATAATATTTGAAGAATAATTCTTTTTAATTTCTGAAATCTGAAATGAGAATTACCCTCCCCCTTTTCCCCAAAAAAATTCTTTCCCTCAAGATATGGTCATAATCTCAATTCAAATTTCCAATGGAATTTGCAACCATAATTACCCATTTAAATTTACCATAGTGCTAACTTAATTTGTTTTATAATAGAATTTAAAATATGGTGTCAAATCTTTCATATGGATTTTTTTGTAAAAAAAAAAAGATGCATCATTTGCAGATATTTTTACTGGTCTTCCTTTATAAATATGCATTTCTTTAAACATAATTTAAAAGCAGTGTAAAGGAAGTAATCAAAACGTTGTATGTGTATTACCTCCCTTACACTGTTTTAAATTGTCTTAATTGTTCATAAACCATTACTTTATACATAATTTAAAAGCAGTGTAAGGGAGGTAATTTAAATGATGTATTTGATTTATCTCCCTTACACTGCTTTAAATTATGTTTTGAACTAAAGTATTTGTCCATATAAAAATGCGTTTTTTGCGCCTTTTTTGGCCCCTAATTCCTAAAATTTTGAGGCAATTACCCCCAAAATCAATCCCAGCATTCCCTTTGTGATATGGAACCTTGTGGTACAATGTCAGAGAGATCCATACACTAACACACAAGTTATGTCTGGAAGTTACAAAAATGCTTATTTTTGGCCCCTAATTCCTTAACTGTTGGTACCATAACCCCCAAAATCAATCCCCACCTTCCTTTTGTGGTATTGAACCGTATGGTAAAATTTCATAGAGATCCATTCACTTAAACTAAAGTTAGAGTGCGAAAACGAATGTGTCTTCGGACGTCATAGACGCCAACGTCATACCAATAAATGATCGCAAAATTTTTTTGCGGTCGTATAAAAAGGGGTCAAACAGTATTGACAGAAAGGGCTGAAACAGGGGTCAAAGGGCTTTCAGTGCATCAAAATGTCAAAAAATGGCCAAAAATGTCCAAAAATGCACATTATCACAGAATCATGATTTATATAAGTTAAAATTACAATAAACAAATATTATTTATCATTTGAAGTGACTTTCTGCCAATAAAGTTGGTCCATTCTTTATTTTCAAGATTTTGGGTATCAGCCTCTTAGGCCACAGACCACAATTAATTCCTCTATTAGTTCTTTATAACATTTTGTCTAATTAAAAAAAAATTACCTGTTTTTTTTTGTCAAATCTTTTGTGTGTGTAATGTACAGTACAAGTCCAAAAATATATCCAAGTTTCAGAAAAATTGAACGTTTACATCTTACAAATTTAGCCAATACACATCCATACCCCTATGGACGAGTCAAGAGATGTTCCGAAAACTGTAAATATTACCTTTTTGCACCTGGCCTAATCACTCTTTCCATATCAAAATCAGTTAAAATAAAACATCCAAAAATTTATTTCAGCTCTCTTCTTTCATTTCCACCTTATAAAAACTAAGAAATGTATGAGAAAAGGAAAGAAAAAAAATAAAGAAAAAATACACTTTAATTAAAGGGAACTATATTCATGAACAACGAAAAGTGGGGTCATTAATTGTGGTCTTGGGTCTATTAGACCCTTTTTCTTCAATATAACACCCCGAAAAATGGCACGCATTAAGCTTATTCTCTATTGAACTAGCAAACCATATATCAAATCAATCCGACAAGTTTTATGGCAGTTCTAATAGTTTTAATAACACTACCCTCATGTTGATAATTCTAGGTATTTTCTGGCATGAAACTTTCAAAACATGTAACTACTATGAAAAGTAAAAGTTTAATAACTTTCTTGTTAAACATGATATCTTTAAAAAATAAAATGTCTATAGCAGCTGAATGGTTAAATTTCTAGAATCTGAAAGAAAATTTATCAAACATTATGTTTTTTCAATTGAAATTATTTTTTTTCTTAAATTCTTGTAAATTTAGTTAATATACCAACACTGAATATAAATAAAATTCCATTATAAATATTTAAAAAGAAAATTCACTTTCAAAACTTGTCTTAAAAAATTGCTCATCTTATCTGTAATAAGTAAAATATAACATAAACACTAATTAGACACATTTCACAGGTACTTGGCCTGTTTACCTGAGGTACCAATATTCATGTGTAACATCAGGTCAGATTACATGTAAAGAAAATTTCAAACTAGTGTAATTTCTTTATTCCTTGAAATATTACTCTGAAATAAACTTTGTAGTGAAGTTTTCTGTTTTGTTTATTTTTATAGATAAATAGATTTTAATTTTGTAACAGATTTCTGTAAGAAAAATAGTTATTAAAAAATATATTGCATTTTCATAAAAAAATTATTTAAAAAATTAATAAAAAAAATAAATATGCTTCTTTGTTGAATTAATCTCTTAATAAATGATAAAGTAACATATTTAAATAGATTTGGATAAAACAATCTTTATCTGGACCCCTAATAATAGATTAATTGGCTTAGATGGATACTGCTAAGAAAACTCTGTTTATTCAGAGTTGCCTCTGAAGGTGGTCTCTTGAAATCCACACCACAGACTGCATCAAAGGAAAAAATGTACATCAAAGCAGATATCATACAATGCTTGATAATAAATATAAGGATGTCCAAAGTATATGCTATCAGTCCAAGCTGCCATATTACGGATCCAGTTAAATTTTCAAAATGTTCACTAAAGGTTATACCCCATATAACAAAGGCAAGAAGATGTCAAAGAAAGACAACTCTCCAAGAAATCCTGGATGGTTACCTGTTGGCACAAGTGGTAGAAGCAGAAGCCGGACGTCAATACAGATCCCGGATTCAGCTAGTGCAAGTACTTCCTATGTGCGGCAAACTTTACAATCTCCTGACTGTGAAGAGACGACTGGTCACATCTGTAATCTTCGACTGCAAGCGAATGCTGACCTGAAAAAAGAAGAAAACATAGCATTACATTCTGGTATGAGATGGATAGACAGTCAACTGACACTCAGCTTGTACAACACTACTTTTGATAAACACCAAGTGAACTCACCCTCCTGTCCTAAGTTTAATGTCGACTATCAGGAACAGAAAAAGTGGGGAACTTGCTGGCAGTATACCCTGAAATGCATAACCTGTGGTTTTATTGGAGACAGAATGAAGATGTATAAAGAAATAGCTAATGGCAAACCAGGACCCAACACAGGACAACCAAATGTAGCCCTTGCATCCGCTTTGCAGGATTGCCCAATTGGAAATACCATGATGCAGCAACTACTTGCAGGAGTGGATACACCAACACCATGTCGAAGCAGTATGCAACGCACATCTAACAGAGAAGCAGCTGAAATGGTCAAACTCAATAAAACAGACATGGCACAGAAACTTGAACAAGTCAAAGAAGTCAACAGAAAGAGAGGTGTACCAGAAAATGAAATTAACATAACTGTGGATGCTCAATACAACAGCAACACAATTGTTAGTAAAAAGAAGCCCGGTCAGAATGCCACTCAAGTATTCGCACTTGGTATTGAAACAATGACAGACAGAAAGTTTATTGTAGCTGCAGTTGTGCAGAATAAGATGTGTTGGAAAGGGGCTTGGCTTAGAGGTAAAGGCTTTCCAATAGAATGTCCAGGCCATGAAGACTGTACAGCAAATTTATACAGAGCTGCTTCCCTGTCAGAGTATGAGCTGGGAAAAGAGATTGGAAACCAGCTAGGACTACAGAAATTTCTTGTACGGTATGTGACCACAGATGGAGATGGACGTTCAGCTAGAGGTATTGAAGATGCCATTAAAGCTCTCGAACCAATGTGGAAGGTAGAAAGACTGGCAGATCCAGTACAATTTGGACAGTCTCAATTCAGGGCCTCTAATCGAGCTCAATACAGTGCGGGAATGTTCCATGGAAAAACAAGAGAGGAAAATAGACAACTGAAGACAGTGTTTAGCAAAGATCTCAAGTGCAGATGCTCCATGATAATAAATAAACTGATGGAAAAGTACGACAAAAACATTGATGAAATAAGTAAAGACTTACCA